ACAAACAAGATTAGAATATCACCAAATCCAGAGGTCTAAATCCCCAAGCGTAACCTGAATTTTTTAAAGAATTTGATGCTAGATCTTGGAGGGACTAAACTTATCCAGAGTTATATAGGGAAGCAAGATATATATCTTTTAAAAGGCACTGCATGAGGCCTCCCCTCATCATACCATTCCCATTCTGACTTAACACCATGGTCAGTAAGATCATCCCCACCACGTGGGACTTGTGTCATGAAATACATTCAGTCAGAGCCCCAAGGCGGCCAGCCCAAGGACTGACTGCTCTTGCAGTAGCCTCCCCAGCACCGCTTCTGGCAGCCAAGGCAGCCTATCTTTTCACGGGCCGCAACACATATTCCAGAGAAAATGGTAGCAGAGCCTGTATTAATCTGCGACACCTTAGCAATCCCTGCACAGCCTCCCTTTGCAAAAGTATTGCAGAACACACAGCAAACTGGCCCACTCTTTTTATGGGTCTCACCACACTGGTACAGCAGCAGCAGCAGAATCTTTACCTGGAACAACAGCCCTTTCCTCCAAAGTAATTCCCCTACTAGTAATAAGCACAGAGCCTGAATGGGAGTCAGCTTTCCTCTTCCTCACAGTGATGAGCAGAGAGGTAAAGCAGCACGGTTACCGAAACTGTGGATCCCTTCTTACCTCCTCCTCACACTGCCTCCCTGAATCATCTTCTCATCTTCCTCTCTGCCACCTCTGCCCCAGCCCCGCTTCCTTCCTGCCCCTCAGCCCATTCACTGGACTCATGCCACCACACCAGGACTAGGAAGGTGTGGTGACAAATCCTTTTGTAGCAACTAGGGACCTCAGACCTTGGGATAATTCCAGCCAGCATTGGCATATTTGGCAATCGATACCGCACAGATTCAGATGCCTGATGCTGTTTTTTCTCTTGTCCAAAACCATGGCCATTGACAGGCCAAGCCAAATCTTATACCCTGAAGAAGTGCCCTAGCTCTCTAATTCTTACAGGTTGAAAACGGTTGTTTCTCATCTGACAATTGTCTAGAGAATGATGTTTAAGGGGGAGATGCAGAGGACAAACAGCTGATTTGCACAGGTGGTGGTCTGAGCAAAATTCCCCTCCTGCTCCCTGCTAAAAGGCAAGAGTTAGGCAGGGTTTTTCCTGAGGGCTATGTTGTAGCTTTGAATGACAATATAAGGGTATTCACAATGCATGTAGTTTGAGGGACAGAATCACTGCAAGGAGGAGCTTGGTGAGATGCAAGATTTGCAAGTATATTTTAGCCTTAGCCTCATTCAGCTTTTCCCTTTTGGGAAAGGACTACTCTGCAGCAATTCAATATCATGAATGTCACCACAGCCACAATCCTGCTTGATTCTTCCTTCATATAAATCTCTAATGCCATTCTGAAGCTTGAGAAGGTTGCTCTGAGACATACGAGGAATGTACTTATGACTAAGTGTTCATTCACTGGTATGGCTGACTCCTGCACACAGGAAACCAAATGTAAAGTTGACAGGTGTGTATAGAAGTTAACCCATAGTGTGTGAATGGCGATGAAGAGCCTCTAGTTGGCTCTGAGCTCTTCAGGTAGCCCACAGTTTACCCTCCCCTTTCTTTCTTTTTACTATTTCATCACTTACTCATCTTGTGACACAAACATATTTGGACTCTGTGGACCTCTCCAATTTATCTCTCTCTCCAAGCCAGAAGGTAATCACAATGTAGGTTGGGAGCGTGATGTTACTGTTTTTCATGCTAAGCAACTGCAAACTGCTCCCAGGAGGATGCCTATTTATTACTGGCTCTGCGCCGCAAAAGACTGACCTAATGAAGCAATACAGAGCAGCTGATGTTGGCAGCTTTTGTTGTATGCACAATTAGAGGTGCGTTTATTGGCTCAAAATATTTGTGCCCTGAAGGCCACCACATACAGGTGCCCTGCCTTGATAATTCTGTGGTGTGGAATTTTTCCTTGGCTGCCCTTTCAAAACCATGTGAAAAATTTGCATTTGAATCCGTTAAGGTTGCAACTGAGTCTTCTTTTGAAAAAAACCTGTTCAGTAAATACCTCAATTGGATGTCCATTTTATTTTATTTTTTTTTACCAGTACCTCCTAATACTAATATATAAAGAATATCTACAATATTTAATGTATCAAATGTAAAATATTGTATATGTCAAGCTAAAACATATCATTTTCCATTTTTTTTAATCTCTTCAGAAATAACTGACACTGAGGGCTAAAAGAAAATCTAAAATCTGAGAATATTAATTGTCTCTTTCTGTAACAGAGATTAATACCTTTGGCACGTGAAAAAAAGGCTATTTTCCAACAAAGATTACGAAAATGTGATTATAAGCTATATATAAAGTGAGATGCATCTAACAAAAAAATGCAGATTTGAGATAGATATAAATACGTATATTTAGACATTTATATTTGGTCTCCCAAAATGTTGAGGTAGATAACCAACTGAGTTGTCTAAACTCTATGTAGTCAGTGGAGAGAAAGTGGCACAGGAAAGGTCCCGTGCAGCAATTTATCCAGTAGGTGTCTAGCATAGATCAGATCAGTCATGTCATAACAGTGCCTATTTCTCTCCCCTAAATGTAAATGGAAGCCCAATTGAGCAGCTCAGAGGTAGACATCTACTGTGCAGATGATTACAGATAGTTGAAATGATTCCCACACCCCTAGATACTGAAGAACATCATACTTTGATCTGAAATTTAGAGGTAGGTGAAATCACTGGAGGAATGGAACATGCAGTCAGTATTACACAACGAACCTGACCATCCGTCTTTCTCCCCGCCATTACATCCATCTGTCCAAACATCCAGCTGTCTGTCTTACAAAATTAAAAAAGCACAAAACCAGGAAATCAATCCTCCAAACTTTCTTATGATTTAAAGGCTCAAAACGTGAAGGGCCAAACTGGCCCTCCCCTGAAACAAACAACAGGGAAGTGCAGCGATCCTAACCAGAAGGTTACTGTACCCTGAGGAGATAGTGACACACAAAAGAGTTGACCTGAGTAAACTCACATGGGCACAGGGCCTGTACGGTACTGCACATACGGCCACAGGATAAACTTAGCCAGCTAATTGTAATGGAGGAGCCTATAGGCAGCACCCACATGGCACTGGCAATTATGCCACCTGCATGTCCTTGTCTTTATTTAAAAGTGAAGCAGCATGTTCTCATGTGAACACCCTTTTGCTTGACAGTAGGTCTGCCTGATGATGTATCATCTTGGGGTTTCCAGTATCAGAAGGGACAGAGGATTTAAGTGCTAACCTCTTTCACTCCTCTCTTTGAATATGCTGATTAAATGTTGTATTGTACTTAAAGATTTGAGTGGGCATTCTTTCTTGCCAAGATCAGAACTGGCATCTACCTGGTGTGCAACAGTAACTAAAAATATGTAATGACTGCCTTGCTTAAGTCTTTATGCCTACTGTGAATGCTAGCTGAACAGGGAAAATTAAGCACCTGGGGCTAGGATATCCAAAGTCACTATGCCAAACAGTACTTTCAGCACGCAGCTGCTGACTGTTCATCATTTGGAAAACACTGAGATGGAGAAAATCCTAAACTCCACCTAGCCAATTGCTCACTCAGGATAATTAGGATCTCTTCCATAAAAATAAACACTTACACATCTGCTAGACTGGAAAGAAATGGGGAAACTTACTCCATACCTCCCAATACCTGGGTGAAGGCTCAAAGATTGTTCTATAAATGTGTACTTTTTTCTCCTTCAAGTATATTATAAAAGCAAGAGGTGGCTGGAACTGAATTTTGTGAAGTATTTACATAGCCTAGAGCACATGGAAAATTGATTACACTGAGCATCATATAAGATTAATGTGAAGGATTCCCAGTGTTCTGGTTTCAAGCAGAGTTACAGCACGAGCTAGATGTTGAGCTGCTCAGCTGAGTCAAGATTTGGACAGAATGAGTTACTTTAAAATTATATAAGCATACAATATAAGAAAGAAAAGCACCTATGGAGTTGAAATGATGCTAGACAAAACTCAGAGCTTTTCAAAAAGGAAACTTTGGACTTCAACTCCCAACCTTTTACCTAAATCTGACTTCAGGTTCCCACATTAAGCAGTTCCATAAAGTCACTAAAATTACGCTAGGGAGAAATTCAGCCTTAAGTGACACATGATTTTTGGTATGTAATTTGCACCATTTCTAACCTAAATATGATCACCCTATTATTTTCAAGACCATTCTAAAGCTACATGCCATCATTCTATACAACATTATATATTAATCTTTTGAGTACTGGGTTAATATTTAAGCAACTTGGCTATTTATGTTTCTTCATGGGTAAATGCACAACAGCTCCACTGAGGAAGTTTCTGTTGTAAAGAGGGAGGTCTATTGTAACTATAGGGAAAGCATTTTAAAATCTTTTAAAATAGAAGATGCTGTGTAAGAAGTAGTTTCTGCAGACTTGCCTTTAAAAATACTGTTGGCAGGGATATTAATTTCCAAGTAAAACAACTGATATTCTTAAAGCAGAGTAAATCTTTTGGAATTCTGATATAACCAAGTAGTTAAATTGCATGTATCATTAAAGTTCAAATTCCCTTGTTTCAAATTCCCTTGACAGCTGAAGCATCCAGAAAGTTCAACATATTTTCTCTAAGGCTAGCTGGTATGGGAAGTTTTTCATAAGATGTTTTGTCTCTCCTATCATCAATTCATTGATGTAAACAGTGACTGATTAAGCTGGCACTCCTTTCAGGTTGATATACCTGACTGAAAAAAATCTCACAGCTGGAATTCTTCCTGAAAACTGAATTAGATGACAAAGTAAAAGACCAGTCTTCTATAGACACTTAATGAAGACAGGCTTCAAGGGGTTTTCTATACCAGCAATCACTTCGCACTCCAGGACAAGACAAAAACAGCAGATTTCTGCAGCTGAAGATTGCTATCACAGCAGAATAAGGAAAATAACAAAACATACTGCTTGTTAAATCACTTACACTGGTTTTCCTTTGGATTCGCAAGTCAAAATTATAGATTGTCCTTCTTCAGGCCATGAATTGGAAGAAATGATTTTAACTAAAGGTGTATCTAGGAAGAAGAAAAAAATAGACATCTTGTTGAAATACATGAAAAGGATTTATTATCGTAGAGTACATTCTTCTCTATTTACAAAAGATTACACCCAACGTTTAATTTACACTTGGAGGTGCTTTTATTTGAAGCCTTGTGCAATTCTCATTGTCTTTAAGACGGCAATAAAAATGATGAATGCAACTGAAACACTACATTTTTATATCTCAAGGAAACACAAATAGAAAGCACACGTATGCTCAGAGGAAATAACTTTTTTTTTCTGTATTCCATGCAAATATTGTGTGTGAGTACTCTACAGACTGATACCTAACAATGGAATAAAAAGTATTGAGGATGAATAACAAGTACTCTGTGCTATTGTTTCTTTGTCTATTTATAGGTTGATATGATGGAATACTGCTATTAGAGGAATGAATGCAATAATATACATTTGAATAAGAGTGCTTTTATTGTTGCAGAAGCTTGAAACTCATAATAACAAACCTACAATAGGCTTTTAGATAAAATACCTTGTTACAGCCATTTTACAGGATATTATTTCTGAAATGCAATAATGCTGCCCCTAAAACAGAACCTTTTTTTTTCTTTTTATCCCAAAATTTACAAAAAGAATTATTTACATATCTGGAAAAGCCCTACACAAAAGTCTATAATTGTTCTCAAAAGCTTAAAAATACTATTCCTATATATTGGAATTAATTTTATCCTTATGACTGTAGAAAGATATATTATATAAATACTGTGAATTCATGCAGAATAAAACAGTTGATAGCAGGTCTTTAATTTTTAAAACACTTTGGCAGCTGGCTTGCAAACATATAATAATTCTCATAATCAAAATATGCTACATGAATTAAAGAGGCACCTCATTATAGGGAGAAAAAAAATCAAAGAGAAAGCAACATCTCCACACAGAACAGTTTTTTCCTTAGGAATTCTTGGAGAGGAAAATTTTTAGGCCTAAGAGTAAAAGGTAACTAACTCCTTTGCTTTCCTCTATAGTTTCCTAATATTAAAAAAAAAAAAACAAAACAAAACTTCATCTATGGCACAAGAAATACTTTAACCTACAAAACTAGGGTTATCCAATTTTTGGCCCACCCAATTTGCAATTTGTATCTGATTTAGCACTGAAGTAGCAGTGTGACAAGTGATGCCACAGACATCCCATTACCAAGACAACGTGAAAGAGTATGATGCTACAAAATCAAGTGGAAAAATGATAGACTGTAAGGACACAATCTCTTACAGAAATAATAATATTTCTATTAAACACGTAATAGCATGCAAACAATTAAAAAAAATCACAGAATCACAGAATCCTTGGGGTTGAAAGGAAGCTCTGGAGATCCTCTAGTCCAACCCCCCTGCTCAAGCAGTGTCACCTACAGCAGGCTGCCCAGGACCACGTCCGCTTGGGTTATGACTAGCTCCAAGGAAGGAGACTCCACTACCTCCCTGGGCAACCCGGTCCACAGCTCAGTCACCCTCACAGGAAATAAAAAGCTTTTTCTTAGAATCAGATGGAGCTTCCGGTGTTTCAGTTTGTGCCCATTGCTTCTCATCCTGTCACCAGACACCACTGAGAAGAGTCTAACTCCATCTTTTTTACACCCTTCCTTCAGATATTTATATATATTGATAAGATGGCCCCTTGAGCCTTCTCTTCTCCGGGCTAAAACAGTCCTAGCTCTCTCAGCCTTTCCTCCTATGAGAGGTGCTCCAGCCCCTTAACCATTTTAGCAGCCCTTCTCGGGACTGGCTCCAATAGCTCCATATCTCTCCTGTATTGGGGAAATGAGAACTGGACCCAGCACTCCAGGTTTGGCCTCACGAGGGCTGAGCAGAGGGGAAGGATCACCTCCCTCAACTTGCTGGCAATACTCTGTCTAATGCAGGCCAGGATACCATTGGCCTTCTTTGCCACAAGGGGGCATTGCTGGCTGATGGCCAGCTTCTTGTCACTAGGGCCCCCAGGGCCTTCTCTATAAAGCTGCTTTCCAGACAGTTGGCCTCAGCTTGTACTGGTGCATGGGGTTATTTCTCCCCAGGTGTTGGACTTCACACTTCCCTTTGTTAAACTTCCTGAGATTCCTCTCCCACCTTGTCTCCAAGCTCTAAAGGTCCCTCTGAACAGCAGAACAACCCTCTGGAGTATCAAATGCCTGGATATAAAGCTTTTTCTAACTTTGAATTTTATTTTTGGCATATCATAATTATCAGAACTGCACAAGACAAAAAAAGTGGAAGGTTTAGTGTAGACTTGTCATAATTCCACTGAAGTCATTGTCAGAGTCATTTGGATTTCAGTAGAGCTGTGCTAACCTTATACCAGTAGCAAATCTGTTCCAAAAGTTCACATTTTTAACGACCCTGGAAACCATTACGCTGGCAACTAATCCTTAGGGTTCATGCAGGCAGTTGCTTCATTTTTAGACATGCTTAAGGCAGTGACCTGAAGTGCCTTGATAAATCACAGCATCAAGTACTTCTGTGATTTCAGTGGTGCTGCCGGAGATGAGTAAGTTACTCTCTTGACTATACATTGGACCAGAGGAATAAATTATTATCAGACAGGAATACATGAAGGATTTAACTGAGGGATGGAGACAACTAACGCAATGAGGTCAAGAGATTTCCAGAAAAATGTGAAAAAGAGCTAAATTTTGCATGGAAGTAATAATGACAGCCAGAGGTGAAAAAAGAAATTAAAGGCCCACCTAGCTAGCATTGTTCCCTTAAATATTTAAAAAATGACCAGCATTTTACACATTACCATAAGTGACTCAAACAAAAATTGAAGAGGGGCTTTCAGATAATTAAGCTTGCATTTGCACAGATTAATGCAGTGATATTTCCCATCTTGATACAGTTCCCATTTTTGCTTTGTTTAATGCCCCAGACAGCACTCTGTTCTCTGTGCACTTCTAGACAGAGCTGACTAACTTAGATTATGAAGGAGTTTACATTTACGTTTTATTCTCTAAAGCACAGTAAGATTGTGCAGGAAATATATATTGTGGTTATCCCTACTAATTAACTTGTACAGTAACTACTTGCTTCTTTAAAACAGGAAACATCACAATAAATTCAACATACAGTTTATAGTGAAGCTTACCATTTATCTTTTTATTAACAGTCCTTTAAAAAGACTAGTTGATACTCTGTTTTGGCTGCTTAAATCTCAGTGTTACTTTTCTCACTTCATTTTTATGCTGCCCTTGTTTTTTCTCCAGAATTAAAATATACATTTATAAAAGGAAACATTTAAGACAAACTCATCCTCCACTTTCTCATTCACATTAATACTTAAAATGAGAAGAAATCTTTAGACTAATTGCATCATAAGTAACCTAAAAATGTTATTTTAACAAAGAGAATAGAGCACTGCTGACTGGTATTTTTCCAGAATTTAAAATACTCTACATTACAAAATACCATCTCCTGGCGGAGCTGTTCATTTTACAAGTATCTGACAAGTAAAAATGTATGGTATCAGTAGAGTGGGCTTTAGCCTGTCACACCCAGAAGTATTAATCATAACAATGGAAACAGCATCTAATCTCCAAAAAACAGGAACAATAGAAAATAAAGTCTAAAGGAAAGAAAAACATAGCAAGAACTGCAATATGGCAAAATAGGTTGACTTACTTTCTTTTCTCTACGTGAAACAAAGTTTTCAGATTTGCTCATTAACTCGTTTTAAGTAATGTAGATGTTTGTTCAAAAAAAACTCTCCCTGGACAACCAAAACAAACACATAAGAGTAGTGGGGACTCTACTCTAGTAGAGGGAGTAGTGATATAACTACTACTAGTCTATCAAGGGACTAGTGATTATAACTTTTTCATGGTACCAACAGATACACACTTACCGTGAGCTCTACAGAGGTTATCTAGAGGGCAAGTATCACCAAAACCCTAAGTACTGGGAAAACTCCATAAAAAAAAAAAAAGGTTCTACTTGAGTGTAGGTAATCCAGCAAGCCTGCATAGTAAACACACTGCTTTCCATACTCAGTGACTTATTTATTCAACTGCAACTCCAACAGTGTGAGAGCTGCATGGCCCTCAAGTACTTCATATTGAATAATGAGACACTTACAAGCTGCAATTGATTGTCCAGACCAGTCTGAATTGAGACTCAAACACGTCTTAGACTCATAGCAAGATACTTGCATTGTTCTGCCCACCCCATGCCGAGAACTTGACTTTCTCCTGGAAATACCAGCTTAATAGCAGTTTCAGATGAAAGTAAGGAATGTTTTTTAATATATGCCTTCCTGTCTCTGAAAACCAAAGGCAAAAGTTTAATTTTGGAGCACCTCATTGCACAAGAGCAGAGAAGCCATTTCAAAGCTTTAGGAAAATGTACCGAATTTTGACAAGGCTCTTTATTTTTCATAATTCCACCTATATTAGCATGGTAAATAGTATCATCTTTATTCAGCAACATACAGAATTGGTAAATGCATGTGGAAAAAGTATTTCAATTTACACTGATAATGAATGTTATCTGATAAAGAAATTCAACACTTCAGCACATGATTTTTTCTTATACTCTTAGCTATAACTAATGGCAACTTTAATACTTTGTGGAATTACTTTACTGATTGATTTAATCTCCTTGAAATTATTTCAAAATAATGGTGGTTGTTATCACTCATCCGACCTTTCCTGTTAATCAGATCCCCTTCACTAGAAGTGTTTTCTTTTGTTCAAAATGCACTTGCTATTTTTACATTGCTTCAAATAAGGAAGAGTTTATTATGTATTTATAGTATTTTATAATCCTAAAAAACATAGAATCACAGAATCACAGAATGACCACGGTTGGAAGGGACCTCTGGAGATCATCTAGTCCAACCCCCGTCCTCAAGCAGCGTCATCTAGAGCACATTGCCCAGGATTGCGTCTACGTGGGTTTTGAACATCTGCAGCGAAGGAGACTCCACTACCTCTCTGGGCAACCTTGTCCAGGGCTCTGTCACCCAC